CGCCAGGGTAACCGGTCCCCACAACGAGGAGGTGGAAGGGCGCCTCAAGGAGGATGGCACCCAGGCTTGCCGCAGGGCAGGCCCTGGGAAGATCTAGGCTTGGACCAGCGCTTATGGTAGGAACGCGTGAACATGGGTCAGTGCGTATTCTGTGGTGACCCGGCCCACGTTATCAAATTTTGTCCAAAGTATAGACAGGCCAGTTGGGCTGCCCAGCAGTCAAAAGGCAACCGCCAGTAGGGGTCGCAACTACCCCTACTTCAAGGCCATGTGGAGAAGTGAGCGTGCGCGAACAGGACTCTCCCAACCCACATGAGCTTATGGCAGAGGTTCTAGGCCCGTGCCTAGATAGCTGTCCAGAGAGTGTTTGTGTTAGCGTCTCTTTAGGCACGTCCCTCACAGGTGTGGCAGAAGAATTAAAGGAGAGGATGCCAGCTTGGGCCAAAATGAAAAAGGAGAGTAAAGGACAGTTGATTTCGGTAGATGTAGAGGTGTTTAGGAGTAGGGTAGGGGCCCTTATAGATTCAGGAGCTACCCGTAGTTACATTAGCCGTAGAACGCTGAAGAAGCTGAGGCTAGGACTAAAGGTCCAAAAGCTAGTAGACCCCATAGTCAGTGTCCTCGCAGACAACCGCACGATGCACGTTGAGGACTACATAGAGGGAGTCCAGGCGTACTTTCGCCTAGAGAAGGATGGAAAGGTGGAGAAAGTTCTCCATTCCCTGACTCTCCTCGTGTAAGATGACCTTCCTTTCGTTGTAGTGTTAGGAATGGATTGGGGAGAGGCAGCAGGGGCCACACTCCAGTTGAGAGAGCATGAGTGTAGGCTCCCTAGTCCGTCAGGCGAGGCTAAGACTGCCCGCTTGTTCCATGTGTCTGGTGAAGAGAATACGTTGGCACATTGCTGACTCAGTTCTCCCGCGTTCGCGCGATATGTAAAAAAGGAGCAGTTAGAGGAACAGGTCTTTGTAGTTTATGTTAGACCTGTCACTGAGGCCCAGGAAAAGGATAGTTCCACAGATCCAACAATTACCAAGCTGCTGGAAGAATTCAAAGACTTGACTGAGTCGCCGAGAGGAGTAGTGTCGCGACCCATCCAGCACAGGATAGAGATAGAGCCTGGCAGTAGCACTCCTAAGGGTGCTGTTTACAGGATGTCCCCTAGAGAGTTAGAGGAGTTTCGCAAACAGTTAGACGAGCTCCTTGAGAAAGGTTGGATCAGACCCAGTTCGTCTTCTTTTGGAGCACCCGTTTTGTTTGTCCCCAAGAAGGAAGGAGAGCTGAGAATGTGTATAGACTATAGGGGATTAAATGCGATCACCGTAAAGAATGCTGAGCCGTTGCCCAGGATAGACTATCTTTTAGATCGGGTGCAGGGTTGCAAGTATTTCTCTAAGATAGACTTAAAATTCGGGTATCATCAAATAGAGGTCCATCCTAATGACCAGTACAAGACTGCGTTCCGGACGAGATACAGGCATTATGAGTTCATAGTGATGCCCTTTGGACTAACCAACGCGCCAGCTACTTTTCAGCGTTGTATGAATGACCTGTTTAGACCATGGTTAGATAAATTT